GTTGATTTTATTTTGAAATTTATCTTATTATAAAAGAGACAACATGTAAGTGATCTTTTGCCAAAAGAAAAGGGTGAAGAAAAAAAAAGAAAAAGAAAGTATTATCCGGTAAAGGATCATATAGGTCTTTCTTTCAACTGCTCCATCTCGACGTCCTCATGTTAACTATACTCATCCTATAGGTATGTTATTTTTTTTACTGCTACCATTCCGCCCCATAAAGCAAAACTAGTATAATATAATAGTCTATCAATTTTAATATTTTATGAATCATATGGATTTGAAATCTATGGCAGGCATACTTCTAACCATCAGACACCATAACAAAAATATTAAAAAATAATTGTTAAAAAACAATAAAATGATCAAATTACAATGAAAACATTCATAAAAATATTTTGGTCATTTTTTATTTGAATTATTTTTAATATTTGTGTTAGACAAAATTATGTGCACCTTCAAAATTTCAAAGATATAAGATTCGTAAATATAAATAACATTCAAACAAAAGTAGCTGTCCGATGGAATTTACCAAGCGAAGAGCCAATGAGTAAACATTGTAGAAATTCACTCATACGCATTTTTAAGAGTGTGTGTGCACGTGTATAAAAACACACCACAAATATAAATTTGGATGGTGATGAGCCTAGGAGTGAATGATGTAGAAATTCCCTCATAGGCATTTTAAAGTTTGTGTGTGTGTATGATATGAAACATTTGATAAACACTTGGAAATGGATAATCTAGATAATGTATTATATGATACAATATGTTTTTTACTTGATATCCTTTTAGTTATACCTACGCATCTTGAGGTAAAAATGATCTAACTAAAGGGTTTTGCAACGTCAGAAGTACTTTTTCGATTGGGTTTTTAAGGTGCACCTTATAATACCTCAAAATATAAAGATTAATGTTAGAATAAGGTGTATGTATGTATATATACACACATATACATAAGCACCCATTACAACCCATTCTAACATTAATCTTTTGTGTGTATGTATGTGTGCAATGTGACAACCTTACTTGTAGAAGTAATGTTACAATGTTCTATTCTATCCATTTTAGTTGAATGAAAAAAAAAATTAGAAAAAGTTTATAGAAGTGTGAGGTTCTAAACCATCAAATTAGGGAGCACCTCAAAAATTTCACTAGGAAGGTTGTTTTGATGCCCAAATATCCTCAAATTGATCATCTCAACCTCAAGATACATGGACATGAGAAAAAAATGGATTTCAAGTTTTGAAAATAGTGCATCTTGTAATGTATTTTTTGACCGTCAATTTCAAGATTTTTAAATTTTTATAGATCTACTCGATCTATACTATTTTTTATGTTTTAAATTTCATAATTAAAGATAAAAATATATTTTAAGGCTATCACAAACATTTCCAATATTACAACCACATTTTTCTATACTATTTGAAAGTGCACTTTACGTTGATTGTCTAGAGCCTCAACCTCATACAAACCGCACCCTTTAGTACATTCACATCTTACAACTCATTTTTAACATTGACCTTTGTATTTTTAAATGTTGTGAATTTGAGGTTATACACACACTCACATATGGTGTTTGAATAAAAGACAATTTTGAATGTTTTAAATAAGAAAAGTATCCAACTTGGCAGGATGCCAAACAAAGTGCGTAGTGTGGTCCACGACATCCATATACACCTTTCCTTAACCAGACACTCCTTTTGCATACCTTTGATTTTTGACTTGGAATTACTATCCTTTCAACATGATAATACTTTCGTTCTTCTATTGTGATAAACCTTCATTTTTTTGTGTGTGTTATAAAAGTCTTTCTAGCATTAAACTCAATATAATCACTTTTTTGTGAGACCAAATTTGAAATTCAAAAAGGGTTTATATGCGAGTAACTAGAAGGCCGCCTGACTTCAAGTATCACTTTTATTTTTACATTAGAAGTGAAAAAATGTTGGGTCATTGGAGGAGATCAAAGAGGTATATTCATTTAAGTATGGAAAAAGTTTATATAGAGCCGAGACTTTAAACAATCAAATTAAAGCCCACCTCAAAAATTTCATTAAAAGATGTTGCTTTGATGCATAAAGATCCTCAAATTGATTATCTCGACATCAAGATGCATGGAAATGAAAAAAAAAATGAATTTCAAGTTTTGGAAATAGTGCATCTTGTAATGTTTTTTTTTTACTGTCAATTTTCAAGATTTTCAAGTTTTCATAGATTTGCCCAATCTACACTATTTTTGAAGCTTTAAATTTTATAATTAAAGATAAAAATATATTTAAGGTATCACAAATATTTCTAGTATTGAAACCACATTTCTCAACACTATTTGAAGGTGCTCTTTACTTTGATTGTTTAGATCCTCATCTCCACACAAATTGCACCCTTTAAGTATTTCTATTTCTCTTTTATCTCTTATTAGGATTTTATTGTACAAAGATTTTTTTGGTGTAATTTCTTATTGCATAATACATTGAAGTTTTTTTTCCCATTGTCTAAAAGAATTTGAATTAACTAATATTCATAATTAAAGAGAAATCAATAATTAATTTTTAGTAGATTTTACAATGTATTATGTTACGTTTTCGGATTTATATAACTTTCGCTTTGGTGGGCATCTTTTTTAGCTTTAAAAATTCATTTTACTAACTTAATAGGAAGATACTTTTTTAAAGGATTCACTTAAGATATTATGAATTATATTAATGATTGTTCTCTACCTATATTATTTATTTGTTGATTTTTATATTTTTACGAGGAAGTCACACTCAAATGTGATATCAAATGGCTAAGGGTGTGCAATTAATTATACACAATGCTCAATAAAAAATTTTCAAACTTTGTACATAGTTCGTAATGTTTGAATTGCAAATCTAATGGTTTAAGATGATTGTGACCTTCTTATCTAAAGAATAATCTTATTATTTTCTTCTAACGCTTAAAGTACGTGTACTTCATTGATAGGAAGTACATCTCGCCCTTAAAGATTAATTTTTTTATTCATTGTTTTATGGGAAAAGTTTATATAGAGCCGAGACTCTAAACAATCAAATTCGAGCCTACCTGAAAAATTTCACTAAAAGATGTTGTTTTGATGCCCAAATATCCTCAAACTTATAAATAAAGATGAAAATATATTTTAAAGCTATCAAAATGATTTCCAATATTGAAACCACATATTTCGATACTATTTGAAGGTAGGCCCAAATTTGATTGTTTAGAGCACCCTTGTTTAATTAATCTAACTTAATGCCCCTAACACATTCAAATTACTTATGCTATTCTTTTTATCCCGAAAAGCACACTTTCTCCATTTTTTGGGATAGAATTGTTGGGGTTTACACATTATTTCTATTGTTTCTACTTTATATAAAGGTTACGGTTTGTTTAGAGCCTAGGCTCTAAACAATCAAATTAGAGCTTACCTTCAAATAGTGTCGAGAGATGTGGTTTCCCTAAGGAAATCTTTGTGATAGCTTTAAAATATGTTTTCATATTTATTTATAAAGTTTATAGCTTAAAAAATAGTGCAAATTGATAGATCTATGAAAACTTGAAAATTGACGGTCTAAAAATATGTAACAAAATACACTAGTTCCAAAACTTGAATTCCAATTTTTCCTCATGCCCATACATCTTGATGTCGAGATGATCAATTTGAAGATATTTGGGCATCAAAACAACATCTTCTAATGAAAATTTTGAAGTAGACTCAAATTTGATTATTTAGAGCCTCGGCTCTATATAAACTTTTCCCTTTTATAAATACTCAATTCCCAATCTTTATTCTCTCGGTCCATTTTAGGTTTGTCCTCTTAATTTAGCCACTAATGCTTTTATTTTGGAAATAAAATCATCCTTAATAAATTACATCCGTGATCTATTTAACAAGGTTGCAACATTAAACAATCCAATTAAGGTGCGCCTCCGAATTTAATCATGTAATTTTGTTGTAAAAAAATCTTAAGATTATATGAAAACTTTTTCCATGTATAAATGAGATGGTTTTGTGCCAATCCTAATGTATTTTAAGGGGAAAAAAAAAGAAAAAAAAAAGAAAAAGAAGAGGACCAAGGTACATTTCAATATATTTATAACTAAAAGTACTTTTAGATAGAGTTTGACGTTAGGAAGTAAATGGGCCATTTGCTCTTACGGTTGGGAATTTTATCAAAATACACCATATTAAATATTTAATATTGCCAAAAGATTTTATGCTCGTAAGGGAGAGCATAACCTCGGGCAAAACCCAATCTAGGAGTATTTTAGAACTTCAAATTTTAGGGATATCGCCTCTCCAACCCAAAATGCTGAAATAAAAAGTATTTCTAAGAAACATTCTCTATGGCCTTAAAAAAAATGACTTGTTGAATATAAACCGTTCAATTTTTCACGGATGAGACCTAAGCGCTAGAAAATTTAAAATTCAATTTCATTTTCTTTTCTTTTGAACACAACAATCGAATAATTTTGGACGGTTCCCAAAATTTAAGATTACCACTTTCAAATATTCCAAATGCATGTTATGGTGGGATTTTCCAAATCAAATCAAAATATATGTATAACATGTTAAATAGTGCATCATTTTGATGTGGAATGACAAAGTTCCTTATAAACTTTTCATAATCTATTATAATCAAGTGGCGCAGGTTTTGTACAATACAAGAGTATTTTTGGAAAAAAGTGGGTCGAGTAGGGCATAGCCCCATATTTTGATCTTAAAATACTATTAGCAAGAGTTTTAACGGAGGGAGCAACCGTACTATTTCGTCTCGCGGTAGCATAAAATCGTTTCATAATCTGTTGTCGATGCAATGGAGCAAAACCGTAAATAAGGCGCCTCCATGTTTGGATTTTTGATAAATGAAATTTCCAAATTGCTCTTTACCTTTTTCTTGCATCCAACTTGGCGTTGAACCGGTTTTACCCTAACGGGCTAAAAACTGTTTCTTCCCCTTAAGGATACTGCTCTCTCTCCCAAAAGTCTCAGTGAGGTATCCTTTTTTGAGTTAATTTACAGTACCTTTGTTTTCTGCTTAGTCTTGTTTTAGATCGTTCATGGAGGAATTCTCTCCCCCTCTTTCTATTTTTTCCATTCATTCTCTCTCTACTTCTCTCTCATGAGTTCTATGGTTATTTGTCTACTGATAACTTGAGAAATTGTTCCTCTGTTCGATGTCGTGTACATTAGCAAACAAATGATTTGATTCCATAAGGAATACGTATTTGGTGGTATGTAGAATTGTTTTTGTGGAGAATTTTCTGCATATTTTGTGAACTTTATGAAGTATATGAACTGCTTATTATCTTAGTTCTTTTCTTTTCTTATCTTGCCGAAATCTGTAAATAATCAGTCTGTTCAATCTTTTCAGTGCAAAAATAAGCTTTTCTCTGAAGATTTTGACCTTTCATGAAGAGAGAATCAAGTTCACTTATCAGTATGTTATGGAGTTGTAATTTCTAGTTAAGTGTTGAGATTTAATCCGAAAAATACCTTGCTTTCATATTCCAGTTAGCCATGAGTGCGTTTGCCAATGATGTTCCGACTGCTTCTTCGTTGGTCTAGATTTTATTAGTTAATTACTTAAAATTATCAATGCTATTTACACTTTCAAAAAAATTATCAATGCTATTCCATAAAACAGCGGTAAAGTATTTTGTTCTTTACCAAGTTCATTAATTGTTGAACACTGTGAAAAATGATAACTGGGTGATGCTTATGGCATGCAATAGCATTTGCAAGATTAGGAGATCCACCTGAAATGAAGCATGCTGTCAATTTTTTAAGTTGACACAAAAGACTTTTTGCAAACAATTATACTTGCATCGGTGCGTTGATGAACTATAACATAAAAGCAAGTTGGGAATGGAGTCCGAATTAAACACTTGGTTATACAATTCCTGAATTAAAGATCTGGTTGAAGGAAAGTGCATATTCTCATTGAAATAGTAATAACAAAATCAGTGTCTAGAATTAACTGGTATAAAAATTGATTATACATCATGAACATTACCATATAGAGCTATTAAAGTGCAACTCTGAATAATTAAATAGGCAAGGTACAATTCTAACTCACACATGTCCTTCATTATATTCTTAAATTTGCTTTTGATTAACCTTTGTGCTCTTCATCCATCCCCATATTAAAAAAGAGTGAGTACCCCATAGTATACCAAGGTATGCACTTGTAGGGCTCTTTAAGCATTGTTGTTCACATTATTTTATTTGCTTTTTGCAAGTGTGTAGGATTTCCTGTAATACTTCTCCATTAATCTCTATTTGTTATAAATTATTTGTGATAAATTAGTTGTTCTTAGTGACCAAGAGTCCATGAATCAGGACATAATTCTATTGACATTTTCCTTTGATTTTTTTATTATAAACTTCATTGCACAATCAGGAAGAACATACTATAGTGTACATGCTAGGGAGTAATTGCACTTGATTCCCCTACGTAGGACTCATTTGCAGGAGCCCCAGCTTAGGAACAGAGTCAACAATCACATCCTTCTCTCTAGGAAAGAAATGGAGAAAAAACCATCAATCCTCCGTTTCTTTAGTGCATCATGACTCACCTCACCCATCATTCTCCTTCAAATGAAACACATATGATCATCGGATTGTCCATAACTTGCTTTGAGAGTTTCCTTCCACCAATGTAGTGTTTTGACTTTGGCCTTAGTGGATTCATGGTGTCCCAAAGGCCCTAAATGTCTTCAGCACCTAGCCTTCAGTGTTTCTAGTCAGATGTCCACTCTCGAAGGGGCCTTGTTTTATGTGGAAGATTATGTCAAAATTTGGTGTAATTGTCATCAACTTGGCACTTGCCTTCAGGTTTGTCTTCCTTTGGTCATAACCTCTGATCCCAACCCAAATCATTAATTGCCTATAAAGTAGTGAACCCTTTGTCTGAAAAGTTCTTAGGAAGTGATGTAGAATCTCTCTTCAGTTTTCTCTGGCTTGAAAAATTCCTCTGTTGCTCTCTTTAGTTGGTTTTGAACTATGATGAATTAGATTGTGTTGTTGTTTTAGTGACAAATATCCTAGTAAAAGTATTTCATTGGCCTCTTCAGATATGTTGATCATAGTTCTAGATCTCGGCTGAGTTACTTGGACTCTGCATCTTGCTGAGCCGAGTTCCAGGGTACAAACTCTGTTTTATAAAAATATAAAATTTCATAAAATCATTGTATAAATATTTATTTATATTTCTGATGTTTTTGATGATGCATTGTGAGTTTTTCTTATCATATGCTATATTTTTCTATTTTCCCTTTTTTTGGATTTTTATGAATTGTTTCCAGCTATAAGTCAATTTCTTTTCGAAATTCAATCTTTTTTTTCCATATTTCTATGGGCTTTTAATGTTGCCTGTTGTTTTGATTGCTTTTTACTTTTTAAAACATTTTTTTTTATATATTTTAGCCCTTTTCTGGGCTGATACACCACTGGGCACGTTCACACGAACTCCCCTGAGTTACTTGGCTCGGGCAGGGCCTGAGTCTCATGCTCAAGCCAAGCAATTGAACATTGATGTTGACGATTTCTTTTGGTGAGAAAGTTGCTTAGAAAGATGTGTCATGGTTTCAACCTGCATTTAAAACATATTATACTTGTTTGAAATAAAAGGGAATTTGCTTAATATGATGATTTGGCTTCAAGAGGAGTATACCCTTTAATGTAGGACCGAAGGGGTTTGGTTTCTACATTAGTGCACCAAGCAAGGCGGACTTCAAAAAATATGGGAGAGCAAGGTTTTGCTTAAGGAGTATTAAGGATTTAAGGTCTAAATAGGGCAGGATGGAAGGAGGTGTTAACGAAGGGATAGACTTCAGCAGGGCAACACTTATGGTTAGGTTAATAGGATGTTAAGGAGGTTGAAGTTGGTGGGAAATTGGTCCAGCAAGTAAGTGACGGATTTGTCAGCAATGAACCAAGATTTGGGCTAATTTAGGGTTGGTGGTCTGAGGGATATGGGTAACGAGTTTGGCAAGGAGGTGGGCTATGTTATTAGGGCTTGGGAAGGGTTGATTTGATGTGGTACAAATACGGTGACAATTTTGGTTGAGGGAATCTTGGATGGGAATTTTTGCCACAAGAGGGAAAGAAGAGGCCAAAGCTTGCATGGGGAGAATCTCCGAACCACAAGCTAGGATTTTGTAGAATCTCTCCTCCAAAAGAAGAAAATGTATTCTAACCTTTAGGGGAGGCTTTATAATCCTAGGCTAGACTTGTAGAATGAATCTTTCTACCAAAATAAGAAAAGGAGTTCTAATCTTTAGGGGAGGTTCGCCTAAATTGTAGGCTAATGTGTCAAATCACTCAATCTATAGAAGGCTGCCTACAGGCCATGCTTTGGCCTGGCCATGCCCAGCTAAACCCATCCCAATTTTTTTTAGCTAGGACCGGGCCCTACCCAGGCCCAAACCTTTTTCCCAAGCTCGGCCTGAACTTTTGGGTGGAGCCAAAGCCGAGCCCAGCCTGACCCAACTTTATGTAGCCACACTCTTTCTTGTTTAATAGCCTTGTTAAAACTAAACACCTATGCTTCTATAAATCTTAACCCGTTCCATTCTCTTTGCGGTCTTCGATGCGGGACTAATGAGCCTCCTATTACTTGCTACATGTGTTTTTGAGACGCCTATAGAGCACATAGTGAGATTGAATGCTCCAGTTTAGGGCACGAGTTGTTTTTCTCTCTCTCTCTCTCTCTCTCTCTCTCTCTCTCTCTCCACACACACACACGCACACGCACACGCAACTTACATACTCCATTTGATACTCCTTTCTATCTTAAATTGGGAATGTTAATGATTTGTTCTAAAAATTAACGGAACAGAGTGGGGGAAATCGCAGGAGGCAGTAAAGGAGGAGGGACTGAACTTTTCAGCCATATTTCCTAAAAGAGGAAAACAAGCAACCCCTGATTAAGAAGGTTTCACCATTGGGTTTTAGGGGTAATAAAAGGGTCTTTTTGACTCCATTAATGGCTTGATGGCATGAGCTTGAGCTTGCTTGCCTTGGTAGATGTCCATGACTGTGATACATACAGTGAGAACAAAGGGAAACATGTGACTATCATGAGAGAAGAACCCATTTTGTAGAATTTGGTTATAGAGAAAGCAATTTGGGGTTGGCTCTCTTTGAGTAAGCTCTAATCGTGGTGTAGTTGCAGGTGAAAGTAATGGGGTTTTTTGGAGAAAAAGAAGGTTGGTGTACTCCAAGCCACTGGGGTTGCAAAATCTAGACAGAGAATAAAGGTGGGTTGATGCATGACTCTGTTTTGTAAAAATGGTTTTGATGAGATGGATATGAACTTGCTTGAATTCTTTGATGTTTTTGTGGAGCTGGACAATGGATATGGATGAATTGGGGTGCAAAGGAAATTGTTGAGATGTTTTTGAAGCATCTTTTTTTTGTGGTTGGAGCATGGAGAGGATGCAGTTGCAAAAGGGTTCATTTTAATGAAGTTTGTAGACACGTTTTTTGTCTTTCTTCACATTTTAGAGAGGAAGGAAGGTGAGGCAAATTTAATTTCTAGCTCTTTCTCTCTCTTTTAAAGCTTCTTGTGGGAGAAAATTTAGGGGAGGGTTCGACAAAAATGGGGAGTGGGAGAAGGGGTGGCAATGGGCTTGGTATTCTGGCCCTAAAAAACTATGGCCTGGGCCAGAACATGTGATATGAGGGCCAGTCGGGCTGGGCTGAGCCTGCACCATGGCCAAGACAGGCTCGGCCCAGCACAGGCTAGCCTTTATTTATTTAGTTTTCTAAGTTTTACCCGGCCTAACCTTAATAGGGCCAGGGCTGGCCCAGCCCATTGCCAGCCCTAAGTGGGAGATTTAAAAATTGTCATCATTGAGGCAGGGGTGAAAGAGGGTGTGTTTTTCTTTTTTTCTTTTTTTTGTGGGGGGGGGGGTCGGTGTTGTTTAGAGAGGGAGAGCTTAGTGACCAGGTTTGAGTGGAGTTTTAGAGAGAGAAAATAGTTTCCAACGGTGTTCAGAAACTTGACTCGGCCCATGGCCAAGCCGAGTGATTTGGCGAAGTCCTGCACAACCCCAAACAAGACAAAAAAAAAAAATTAAAATAATAAAAAACGTAAAAGGGGTAGTAAAAAACATTGGAGGATTAAAAAGATGAAAAACACTCTATAGAAGATTGGTTATTGAAAGTTTTGATTTAGATCTTTAATTTTTCTTAAAAATCTAAAAAAAGGGAAAAATGATGAAAGTTCCCCCATCACCTTAAAAACTATCAAAATCATCCAAAAAACTAATTATAATTAATATGATGGTGTTTCCAATTTTTTAAAAAAATTTCCAGTTTTTTTATATTTTTCCCTCCTTAAGAAGGGTGGGGTGAGTTGCCTGCAGAAATTGCCCCTACTCGGCCTCGGTGAGTTTGAGTAACTCGCCAGAGTTCGAGTCGACTCGGGCGAGCTACAAAACATTGGTTTCCAATAGCAGATGGAGGGGACAAAGTGTATGTTGATATGTTTCCAATGGCGGAATGGGGGAGTTCAATGTAGGTTAGGTTTTACAATGTTGGATTTGAGGTCGGCTTTTTTTTTTTCCTTTTTTTTTTTAATTTAGAATTTTGGGGGACTATAAAATGTTATTATTCTGGGGGCAGATTTTAGGTGAGGGAGAGAATTTCAGATTTTGGTGGCTTTCTTGATTGTTATGTTTTGATTTGTTGATTTATCATGCAATTTATTCAACGCACTGCATCATGTTCATAGTGGTAGAGCTTACCACCTTTTATTGGAATAGTTCCCAAGTTAAAACACGGAAGAGAGTATATTTAGTTAATTTTTTATTTTGAAGTTTGAAGAATCATGGTATATGGACTGTGGTCTATAACTATATGGTCCATACTCCATACACAACATAGATTATATATATGATCATATCTGCCATTGGATGGGGAATTTAAGGTCCCAAGTTCAAACCCTGGCCATTGGCACCCCTATCTCTACAAAAGAGCTTAGGAATCTCTCCTCTAAAGGCTCTCACCACAATTGAAACCCAAATTTTATTAATCAAACTTGAATTGTTTTGGCCATAGGCCTCTACGGCTTAATTAGGTAACGAGTTATTTTGTAGTTTTAAGAAACTAAACCTTTGATGGAAATAAACTCTCTAGACTCTAAACAAAATTATGAAACTAACTTAACTTGCAAAACAAGGAAAACAACTACTAAAATTTGAAGATTCTCAACTTTACAATTTATGGAGCCCACAAACTTCTAGAAGATTGCTTAGGTTCCCTACCTTAGGATTTCTAGGACTCAATAATTGAAATAAAGAAAGCTAGTGCACTTCAGAAAATAAAACTTGTCATTGATTTTTCTTGTTGGCTTTCATCCGTGATTTGAAATCTGAAATATCTGAATTATGAAAAGGCAATAGAGAAATAAAGGTCTTTGATCTCGAATTGACCTTTGATTTAGGCTTTGAATCACTGCAAATTGACATCTAGGTGAAAGTTGTCTTCAGAGAGCTTTGTGTCACCCTTAATAATTATAGTGAGATGCTGATATTCTTAAGTGTAGACGAGTGAAGCTGAATTTGCAGGAAGGAAGGGCTTTGATTTTGAAGGCTCTAATCGTATATTGAACATTAAATTTTTATATTGCATATAACCTTATTGAAGGAGTGCAGGTACTTTGATGCAGGGAGAAAAACTAAAACAAAAAAAGATTAAAGAATATGCCCTCTTTCAAGGTCTGCAAGGGAATCCATCCCAAAAATGATCTTTTCACAAGATCAACTTTACTCAATTCAGATCTTTTCACAAGATCAACTTTTCTCAGTTCACATCTTTTCACAAGATCAACTTTTCTGAATTTTCATTCTTTGATCATTCTCTGATCTTTATAAAGAAGGGACATCTCCCTTTAAATAAACTTTAGAAGAAAAAATTCTCTCTCTCTTCTACATACTTTCTCCTATTTTCTCTCTCCTCCTACTTAACTTAAAGTCACGCATCAAAATTTCCCTCCTCCCACTTTAACTTATCCTATCTCTCTCAAAGTCATGCACCAAAATTTCCCTCCCCCCACTTTAACTTATGCTATCTCTCTTCCTATTCTTGAGGAAAATAAACAAAAGAATACTAAAATAAAAAATTAAAACAACCGCAATTTTATTTTCATCATGCTTTTACTGTTATTTCTCGAAATTGGTTCCGATTAAGTTCATATGCAAAAGTTCATATGCAGTGATGGTCACATTTTATGTAATTTTGGCATTGATGAAATCCTGAATTATATATGTTGGGGGCCTGACATTAAAGATAATTTAGTTCCCAAATGAGAGAAGGCGAGTATATGTTTGGATTTTCTAGTTGCACCATTATCAGTGCACAAGTAATTGTCTGAAGACTCTCAACATTAAAAGATGAGGGTATAGAAGCAATTTTGTTAGCATCATGGTTGAAAATCTGTCACAATATTGGATATAGCTACCAAGATCTCTGTTCGAGGCCTCGGCCAACTCGATATGCTTTGATATTGTTACAGTGTATTGAATAAAGTCCAATTGAACAATATGGACAAATCCTGATGTTTTTAGGTAATATATCGGCCATAAGCTTGAAGTTGGATGTATCTAGTTTTCAAATATGTAAAAGAAGAAAGGTTTTTATCCAATTTCAATCCGGTTTCTATATGTGTATGTTTCTGTGTGTGTGTGTGTGTTTGTGGGGTGTGTCTTGTGTTTGTGTGGTGTGGATTTTATGGGTCGGCCGGCCTATGCTACAATATGGGCCAGGTGGCCCAGATTCCACGATCTGGACAGGTCACGTTCAGTAATAGGGGCAGGGGCATTTTGGTTTATTTCTTTAGCTTTGACTTCTTTTGTACTTGCCCCATGTGCACGTATCTTCAGCACACCTCTCTACAAAATTTTACTTCAATATAATTTATAGAAATAAAAAAATGAATCACTTGACCATATACAGTGGCTGTTGGATGTGTTCAAATTGAGTCTAGGTCGTCCGACCTATGCTGTTCCATAGGCCAGCTGGCTCATAAACATATTTCGCATGTGTGTGTGTGTGTGTGGGTGCCTGCGTGCGTGCATGTGGGAGGGTGGGCATGCAGGCTTGCGTGTGTTCGTGCTTGCATGCACACGCACACGAGTGTGTGTGAGAGAGAGAGAGAGAGAGAGAAAGAGCGAGAGAGACCTCCAGCTGCCTGCTGAGTGGGGTTGGGGATGGAGGTGAAGTGATTGTGCAAGGTCCTGGAACCCTCTTTTTTTTTATTATTTTAAATAACATCATATTCATAATTTATTTAGACTAGCATATTGGGTTATTAGACTCATATGTGCCCCCTTCTAAGTCACTCCTTTCTCTCTCAAAAAACAAAAATGCAATGTATTGAAACTCTCCTTTCTCTCTAAAAGAAACCCAAGACTGTACCTCTCCTACCACTTCTCTCTCAGAAACCGTAGCAACTACTTAGAGGCTCCACCCAAACCCCGCCCCCCCACCCCCATCCCAAGAAAAAAAAAAACAAGAATTTCTTGCATGACAAAAATCCTAGCAGGTTGATGTTTTCTTTGTGGGTTTGCGTTATAGTGGATCGTTTTCTTTTTTTTTTTTGGGTCAATTTATGTTTATCAATTTTTTTTTATTTGCTTTTGCCCACTGTCGCTAATTTTATTGTAGTTATGCAGTTGTCTTATAGTAAATGCAAGAAAGTTGTATTTTATTTTGGTAGTGCTGCCCAGTTGAACGTTATACCTAACTTCTATGGGGACTCCTTTTGGCCCTCCCATGGAAAGGGACTGACTCCAACGAGTTGGTCGCCAATCTTTGACCCTACTGAACGAAATCTAACTTCTTGGTCGGTTAGCAGTGGGCCATCATAGGTGCATGCAATAGGATCCGACCAGTGGGCCTAGGTGGTGCAATAGGTAGGATCCGAATGCTTCTACTCCGTTGGTCCCATGATTCCCTGAGTGACATTGCTATGCAATAAATCAGAATAGGAGCGCCAAGGCCAATACAGAGAGAGAGGCACTAACTAAGCCAATGCTTTGCCCCAGGCAAGGAAGTGCAAGATATATGTCTAGAATGTGTTTTGTTTTCCTTGAAATATTTATGTGGTTCATTTTCACGTTTTTCCATTTTTGTTTTTTCTTCATATATTTTTTTCTCTTTTTAACCTTTTGAACTTTTTAGTCTGATGGAGATATATTTGTATTAGTTATAATTGGTCCAGATATGTCGGCTCTAATCAATGGTCCCTTTTAAGTGAGGTTATGATAATCATGCTTTGTTTTTCTGCTCCATTTTTTCCCTCTTTTTTAAGTTTTTTCCATGTTGGACTGGATGTTATATGCTCTGTTATTATAATTAGTTATGGAAGTTTGGATCAAATGTAGGTATTGACCCAATTATTGCAATTGAACTCAAAGAACCTGAAGCTAATTCCATGTTCTTGTATCATACATTGCATAAAACAATAAAAAAAAGGAAATTGGGCTCAACAAGTCCAGTTTTGGTTTGGGTTCAAATCTATTCTTTAAGGTAAATAGATCAGGCCCTAAAACTAGCACATGATATATCCTCTGTAAAGTTCTTGTTCTTAAGGGTAATAATGAATATTCCATTAATGAAAGTATCACAATTCAGTACATCTGTTATGCACTTGAGTGATAATGTCTGAAGAGTAAGTATCATCTTCTACCATATATGGTCAATTATAATGAATTATGAGCTTGATTTGGGCACAAATGCATACACATATCTTAATGCATCTATATGTGTGTTGTATGTCTATGGATCAATATGTTGCTGTGTGTGTTTGTGTTTTCTATGGATACTTGCTGATTTGCTTCATGCTTTTGAAGTTCTATCGTCAAATTTTTATGGGGACCACTAGCACCTCTCAAAAGGATTACGATGCATTCCAAGAGAAAGTGAAGAGGACGGTTTTTGTTGATAATCTTTCATCGGATATTACTATTTCGGTCCTAACAAAGGCTCTCGGGCAATTTGGGAAAGTGATCAATGCTGATTTTTTACCAAATTACACAGAGTCAAAGTTGAAGGATGATACCCAATGTGCATTGGTGGAGATGGAGAACGAAAAGCAAGCAAAGAGCATAGTTACTGAATTGAGCTCATTCTATTTCATGATAGGGGGGATGCCGAGGCCTGTGAGAGCAAGGCTAGCGAAGGCTGAGATGTTCAGTGAGAGGCCATGTCCTCCAAAACGAAAGATCCTGATACGATGGGTCCCACCTTCAGAACCTGATTTCATGGTGGCAGAGAAGCTAAAGCATCTTACAAAAAGACATGCAGCTGAGGCTTCATTGTTACTCAAGGTACCTACCTTTAGGATAGTGATTCTTCATACTTGTTTCCTTTCTATGGTGATAAGGGAAGTATACTAAAGCCCAATGGATGAAAAGCTTACCGACTCAGGCTGACTTCCCCAAGTCTCTAAGACCTGACTGGGTGCCAGGTCCTGTTGAAGAACCTATGGAACCGGCTGAGTCTCATCAGTTCCTATCGTTATCATGTTAGTTCATGTATAGTCAACCAAGTCGCGCAGTCTCAACTTAGCTGAACTGGCTTACTCAGGCTTAGGCCCTGTCCATTTCCAAACCCGAGTCCATGTTTTTGAATCACTGCCATAGCCTGATTAATTACAAAAAAGACAAAAGGTGCAATCCTTTGGGGTTAGGATCATTCAATGAATGCTTGATGATGATGAAGAGTGTGGAATCTACTTTTGTCATGCAGTGTTCTAGTGGATCCTAATCTCTATCATTGTATTTCATATTTCATTAGACAGTCATGATCCGAATACCTTATGGTTTTCCATAATCCATCTAGCATACATGTGGTTATAACAAGGGATTTTAATGCAAATCCTTGTTTGTGATTGGTGTTATCTTACCAGAGAAACTATGGACTTAATCGACGGGGTAATGTCACTCATTTGTGATGTACAAATGCCGGAATGTTCTTTGGATTTGTATATTGGTAGCTTACTGATTTGAGCAATAAGGGTTGCTTTTAATTTTCTCTCTCATTGTCTCTCTTTGCATGTAGTATCAATCGGATGAAGAAACGAAGCTTGCAGAGCACCAAGCTGAGACGTTGAAAATGAGTTCTAAGAAATATGATATGATAGATGGCATAATCTTGGATGGTACTTTGAGTCGATTGGGTCGACATTACAATATGAAGACTGTTGATGGCTGAGGATGTCTGGCAATAAATTTTTTTATGCTTGAGAATACTTATTAATTTATGTGATCCTCACTTATGTAGGACTCCTGTAAATGTGTTTCAATTGAATAGTTTTAATTGAATGGATCATTTTTTATTTAATAGATCATACTCTAATAGATGCGACACCATGAATCAATATGAAGACTTAAGTTTTCTAATCTCTAGTAACAATTCTTTTATGCCCTGAAAGTAACTGTAAATCATTTCGGTGGTCGTCAGTCTTCGCACATTTGGTAGACTCCAATGGAGATGGATGTGTTTGAATGACTCCTTTTGTGGAAGGTATATGTTCATGTTGATACAAGTTATTTTGCAATTAGATTGAAATATTGTGCATGCAAGAAGTGCAAGTAAATGAATTTTGTGCCCCAAAATGGGGATGGATGACCTCTTGAGGCACTACCCCCTACATAATGAGAAAGAGGGAGAGTATACTTACACGAGTATGTGATGCACCCATTTCTACTTCGCCTTTTGTTTGCATCTTCACCTATTGACACCAGAACTTGATTTTCAATTCTACAAGTAGGGCATTTTTTTTTTCTTGATTGTTCTTTTGCATCTCTTCAGAATTAATTTTTTCCTTTATCATATTTTTACACTTGATGCTGATTCATTTAGTTATTCGTACAGGGATTTTTTTACATTGAGACTGCCACCCTTTGTGCCCAAAGATCACAAATGCCATGCCCCCTAGTTGTCAAATATAAAATTGGACGGTTGGGGTGTGTAATTTCTTTGTACAAATTCCGGGGGAAATTTTTCTCAGGCGGAGCAAAATCAATGCCACAACCCAGTTTGCCCAATTTTAAAAGAGTGCTCGGGGCCAATGGTGAATAGTCTCATTGTATACCATCTAATCTGTATATTACCCTCACGCGGGTGGTGGTCCTCTCTTTAAGTATTTGATACTTCAATATATCTTATTGATGTTCCAACTTGTTTTGATACATCAATATATCTTACTGAGCGTCCAACTTGTTTTCCATTACCACATCTTAATGCTTTCTTGCCACAAGTTTTACAAATTTTAAAACCTAGTTATGTTTTCTGTTAATTTTTCCCCCATTTTCTCTACGTCTTTTTTCTTTTTCTATGATTTTGCACCATCTCTGTTTGGTAATGAGAGTGGATCCTGCCCTTTGTGTTTTGGTGGTTAAAATAATGAGAAAGGAGATCCATTATCAAAAAAATAAGAAGTGAGAAGGGAGATCCTATCTTTCTCAATTCATCGACCTACGGCTGCCCTCTACCCGGCTGGTGTAAAGGAAAAAGAAATTAATAGCACTTTTAAAAGCCTTCATGTGACGACCTTTTGTACCGTCCACCTTCCCAAAATTCGGATATTGAAAAAGAGACATTTGGAAATACATTGAGGCCTACTTATGTGGAATTCTTTTTATAGTTAGATCCTTTATTCTTTACATTTTAAACTGGGGTTGAGCATGGGACAAATTAGTCAAAAAATGAAAAAGAATTGACAGAGGTGGTGTTTTTAGTATTCAAATAGTGTCTGGTATATAAATGCGTGCCATTTGATTTGTGTTACATAAATGCATCCAATTTCACCTTTGATGGCTAGGAATGACCGACTTTATACCACAAGTGTACCCACTCTTTTCTTGAAATGTATTGTTCTTGCAAAAGAAAAGAGAGAGAGAGAGAGAGATACGAGTAAGAGGACTTCAAAATTTTGATGGTGTGGAGTTCGGATTTCACGTCCAATGGCAAAGAGTATTCACCTCCTTGTATGAAAAGTGTATGGTATTATAGTAGGGAAAGGTTTCTATACTTGCTTTACAGCATAGAAGATCTATCCTTCCCCTACTATTCAGTGGTCCAATTTTTATCAAGCAAGCCACTCACTGTTTGATCTTAGATCCGACGTTTTAAAGTATTTTATTTTTAATTTTTTTTATAAAAATTGTATGAATATGAAATTTGGTACGTGCCATATTTTCATTGGGTTGCACCTATAAAAAATATTAAAAATAGTTTGTCTATAAAATATAAAGACCAAAATACCCTTTGAAATTTTCAGGGGTATTTTGGTCATTTTATTTTATTGAAAATATTTTTTTTATATTTTTTTGCTAGTACGAATTTAATAGAGGATTGGACGTCCAAATTTTGATGTCAAAATAGTTTATAGAAAAAAAATTAAAAATAAAATAGTGTAGAGACGTGACATTGTGATTGGAGCAATCTTAGCCCTCCATTCAGAATGGACGGTTGGATAAGGAGAAGTATATAAGTTTTATATTGTAGAGGAAGCATAGAAAGCTTTCCCTTTATAATATGGGTGCAGTTAGCATACGGTATAGATAATATGTTATAAAATGAACTATTTTTTAGACTTAAAATCTTTTTATTTTTCATAGTCATACATCTCGATGTCGAGATTATGAATCAAAGCATTTTTCAACATTAAAGCTGCCTTTTTCGATGGATTTTTTAGTACATCCGTAGTTCTACGTTATAAGATTGCATGCTTATATAAACTTTATCCTTTTAGAAAAGAGCCAGCATAATAGTGCTGCTCGTCTATTAGAGCACATGGTGAACTTACTGCCTCAAATGAAAGAGATGTTTAGAGGGACTAACCGTATAATGAGTTCCAACAGGAGCAAACTATAGTCGCTCTTTCAAATTTTGCATTGGGACATTGGCACCAGTGTTCCGTAGGCCTGATTGCTCACAAAATCTTAATCTTATCCTCTCCCGTAGGCAGTGGCAAATGCCTAAAGGTTTACATCATAATAGAAAATAACTAGATAATCATAATTTCAATTTTCAAATTAAATCAATTAAATTTCATGGGAAAATAACAATTTTTTTTAAGAAAAATAGCAATGAGAGTCATGGGAAAATAATTGAAAAAATATAATTTTATTTAAAATAGGTTTTTTTTTACCAAAAAAAAGAAAAAGAAAAATGGACAATAGTTGTTAATCCTGTTGTTTTCTTTTTCCAATAACTGAAACGAGACCAATATCACAACGTGAGAATGTTTTTGTGAAGGGCATTTTCAGCTAAAATAAATAAATTTCGGGCGTTATTACATGTATGGCCCTATTTTTGCATGTATCATGAATCCTGATCCCCGTTATCGTAATGGGTTGTAACTCATTGGTGAACACAGAGGCCTCTATGTTCATGTAACAGCCCTTATTTGAACATTGGCCTCAACCATCTCTTTTGGCCCTGGTCGTTTATAATGGAATAATCAAAGTGCCTCTTTATTTGTTAATAGATACTCTCAGCTTAGGAAATTCATTCATATGTGCAACTACGATTAAAGAATTTACAATATGCATAAATTTGTGTATTCTTTATTTTTTTTCATCGAAGACAACTAGTTGAAGATGTTGCACATATGTTTTCTTTTTTCATTTTTTCCCAACATTATCCTACACATTTGTTATTGTGGGTCTCTGCACTTTCAACGCACAAAAAAAATGGAGCTCTTCCGAAAAAATATAAAATTCACTAAAATCTCTAGCAATGGGTTGAACATTTTGGGATTGGAGTTGGCATGAAAGAAAGACATACAAGGAGACCAAACCTTTTGGAAGTTGGGATCCCAACCTACACAAAAGGTTTGATCTCCTGCGATTCTCTCTCTAGAATGTGGGATAGACCTCTCTCTCTCTCTCTCTAGAATTTCGGATTGGAGGTGAGACATCGGAGGAGATCGAACCATTTGGAGTTTGGAAACCCGAACTAGTATTCGAGCTGGTTCGAATTCCTGCGATTCTCACATACAACCCCTCTCTTTCTCTCTAGAGTCTTGACCAACAAAATTATGGGTGGGTCGTTTTTATAGTAGTGTAGGCAGGTGTTAGGGTCAGTTGGTCTTGTCCAAAGAGCATGCATGCTTCAAGTGTGCTTTCCCTTACCATTTCAATGACTTTCTCACAAGCCCTCCCTCTCACATGCCATTTTATCAGTTATCTCAAGCGTGTGAATCTGGTTACTTCATATGCATCAAAGTGTTGCTCTTTTCTCTCACTCTCTCTATATGAATTGAAGTTATCAAAACTGGATCGAACCAGTGATAAGATCCTGTACGGTTTGGCATGGACACTAAACTGGGCGGTTTTTTAGAACCGGTCAAAACCAGCGGTTAACACCTTGAACTGGTTTAACTGCCCGTTTTGTAGCTTCTTTTGGATTTTTTGGTTTGATTTTTTTTCCTTTTTTCCCACTGTTTCCCTTTTGATTGCACAGGATATTTTATTTGCAAAATCTTTAATGCAACTGATCTCAAGATTTTCGCAGAAATCATTACACTAAATGTCAAAAGGAATTTTTTTTCTTACCTACCATATTGCCGTGCATTCTTCAATTTTTTTCCTATACTTTTTTTATTTAAAATTTTCTTTTGTTCTCTTTGGAACCACTCGTTTTCTTTCTATTTAATGGGGACAAGGCGCACCTGGTTCTTCTTGATTACGTATTTCAAGTTGGAATTGGGATCTAATTTACTAAATTTTAAAATCCTCTAATATTTAATTTCTTGCACGAGTTGGAATTTTTTATTATAATCTTTTTAATAATCTCCTATTTTTTACCGAGCTCTCAATTGTTTTACCTATAGTTCTCTTATTTTGATTGAATTTTTAATTATTTATATATAAAAAAGATTTGATCGGTCAGAGCATTAGTCAAACCAATTTTAAATAGACCAATCCCATAGCCGGTTCGAGCACCAATCAAATCCTATGAAAACAGTGCTCTGAATGCTCTCTCCCTGTCCCTCTCTCCTAAAAATGCTAGTATTGAATCATGAGGTCCTCAAGCAGGCTTGGTTGGTTAACGCTTGAGAAACTAAATATACAATCTTAGGATAGGATCCTTCTTTTCAAAATTTTCAGGAATTACATGCAATGAGACTATTTACCTTTGATATAAGGATGTCACAATTATTTACAACTATCTGTTGTGAAATCTGATAGCATGAGTGTATCAAAAAATTCAAAAAAATTTATTATGAAATTTGAGTTTGATCAATGGAATAAATGCAGCAATCTAATTTTATATCTAATGGTAAGATTAATTATGCCTGCCTTATACCAAAAATAAATGGTCTCTTTGTATACTTTCCCTTTTTTATATGCCTTGAAAATTTATTAGTAGTACAAGCCAGCCCATCTAGCG